AAACGCACACCACGGCGAATGAATGACAAGCAAAACATTGTTCCCGCGTAAGTTTTTGTATCAACCAAACAGCCACTTAGAAGCCAACACCAATGGTCAGTACAGCCGAAGCTGCGGGCCACTGAACCCCGAAGTACCAGATAGCATCATCTTGCATAAGTGCCAGACTGGCACTCGGGGATTTTAGTCGCCTCTTACGACAGGCAATCCTAACCGTGGGAGTATTCTTTTCCCCTCTCTGCAGGGAAAGTACATCGGAACAATGGGGCTTATAACATTATAGTTTTCTTTGTTCATAACTTAAAATCTACAAATCAGCTGTTCTTTGTTGACATTATAAAATGTAGCTGTATAAAAATAAAGTGTAAATGCTGTGATATGTGACTTTTAGTGATTTTCTTACAGTTTTTATAGCGACCCCCACTATTAACGTTATAGATATATCTTTTTAATAATTGGTCCAATGAATTCAGAACAACCACACAGTATTTAAATCATCTAATAAGATTTTTCTTAAAGACTATGATTATTTTATTTCAGAAGACATAAAAGAAATTTAATAATACCGTTCTAGCAGCGGTCACTAGCTCATACCTTAGTCATTATTATAACATTTGTTTCAATTAAGGTCATTTGAATATCTTACAATATTTAAAAAAATCTTTGAGATTTAATTTTTAAGATTGAATTCCATAATATTTAAATCTTAAATTCAAATCTTTAAAATTGAAATCTTAAATTTATATCATTGATCTTTAAGCAAACCACAAGAGACTGATGCTTATCAATAATATAATAGAAAATAATATAATAATATATATAACAAAATAATAAAATAAATAAATAAATAAAAATTATTAATATTATGATTAAAACGGATATCAAAACCCAAATGTTCATTAAGTCAAAAAAGTTGTCAATTGCGTTCCCCCATTCAGCTTATACCTTAGCTAGATCACTTATCTCTGAACCACAGTGTTTAAATCATTAAATTTAGACAATATTTACATAAATTTACCGCATTCCTATATAATGCTATAATATATGATGTAAAAAATAATTAAATGGAATAGTAAAATAAATAAAAAACAATATTATATATAAGAAAATTGAGTAAGCTTTATATCAGTGTTTATATCATAAACATATCCAGGAAGTGTGTCTACATTTTGTATTATTAAAACTGTGTTGTGTATTAACCGACACATCGACTTGTGAAACCTGCAGCTATATATTATATATCATTATATATTACATATTATTACTTCTCTTAATATTTTAGACTAAATATGGTAAGTTAATTAATGAAGGAAACAATATGTCCATATAGTATAAATGACAATAGTAATACTTACTTGCACTTCTGTGCATGCTTGAGGTCTTGGTTGTGGTCTTCGTGGATAGTATGAAGGAACTGGTGCAGCAACCTTTCAAAATACACTTTTTTATTGTAAACGCATTAAAATATATATATCAGTTTGTTTACAGGTAAAACATATTGCAAAAAAGTTTAAAATACGCTAAACTTCTTTAAAACGTTTTTTAAAATCGATTGACATTCAAATATCCAAAACATAAAACAGACATAAAAGTTCGTGAATCAACGTAAAGTGGTCTTTTGCCTTAGGAGCACTAAAAATTGATTCTTAAGTTTAATAAAAGCATTAAATTCATTTCTCCTCGTTTAAATATTGATAATAAATCAGAGAAAAATCCATATGCCAGATAGCGCATATTGATTTATAACTGATCACTAAAGGTTACTACCTATCTGTAGACCTTAAAATTATGCTACAGGGAAACTGTTTTTCAGGCATTCTGAAGCTCACCACCAAACAAATTATGCAAGATATAGGTATATAGGGGAAATGGCGGTATGAATGTAATACTTTAATTTAAAACTACGTACTTCCATATAAAACTATATACTGGCTAAAGTGCAATATTGTCGAAATTAATATAGAACTCTCATATACAACTATATATCAACTAAAGTCACATCTTGTTTTTTAAATTGGTCATATTTTATCAGACATCGTATAAAATTATTGAGTATTGAGTTACATTTAATTTAAATTTAAATTTACCTGTTCACACCAACTGCAATTATCTTTTGAAGGCTAAAAAGTTTAAAAATTATGTGAAGTAAACTGTAATAATCAAATTTTAATTTTTATATATATAATTTGTTACCTCAGAAAAGGACATATAATTCCATGGCTAAAAATTAGAGATATTTTACATAAGATATATATTCATTAAAATAAAACTCTTCATTATTGTATAAAGCATAATAGTATATATCAAAATATTTTATTAGGAATGTAAATGCAAAATACTTTTAACATTAAATGTCATATTTCTTTAGTCGTTGATAGAATATTGACTACGATGTTTTATATATCGTAGTCATATATCATAGTCGGTGTCTTATATAGTCATAAGACACCGAATAAGAGACCCAGCATATAATACGAGTATGTACTACATTACGTTAAAAAAGAATTACGTTTTGGGTTTTGATAAGTTGGGATATATATCATTTGTTTAACAAATAACTCTTTCGTTATGTTTTTGACTTGCAAACGCCGAATACTTTTTACCCCACCCAACTATTGCTTAAGTGATATTATTTTTTAAATTCAAAAAAAGGTCGTATATTCCACGCTGCCACATTAAAATTTTAACAAAATCGAAACTCAATCACATTTAAAATCCTAAGGCAATATTTTGATAAATATAATGTGTGTTCTAATTGCTATGTCTTTTTTAAAATATTTAATTAATTACCTTTCCTCTACCCTGGTTGCAGCACAGCTTCTGCAAAATAAAATATTTTTTTATTGCATATATTGATTATAAGTACAGGGTTATCTATTTTGCGGTTTTACAGGTAAAGTTAAATAAAACACACTTAAGATTGAGATTTCATTCAAATTTTTGTTAGTATATTATGGCAAAATATAATATATAGACATATAATATATATGTGTAGACATTTTATATAACTATAAGATGTCTACACATAACATCTTATAGTTGTGGATCCCTCACATATAGCACATAGCTGTCAATTGTTCAGCGATGACGGATGCTCAAAAATTTGTTCAAAATAAAAAATTGAAGATTGTAAAAAATTTAATGGTATATATTACAAGATCTTGCTAACCCATTCAAATAACCAAAACATAAAATTATCAGAAAAACGTCAAAACAAGACGTATTGTACGCCATTTGGTTTGTGACCATCCTGTTAAAACTAACATCAATATTTTTAATTTCATTTAAAATATTTCCCTTTATTCCATTAAAACTAGTAACTTTTTGTATCTTACAAAGTCTTTTGACAGCTACTTTAAGGGTTTTTTTTTAATTAACCTTCCCAATTATAAAATGTTCAGTGGTTATAAAACAGTTCATACTGTAAAATTGCAAATCTAAAGCTAACCATATGTTGCTTTTTATGACAGCTCTGTTTGACGTCTGTTATAGAGACAGTATTACCAAATTAAAACCACAATATAGTTAACCCTTCATAATTTATAAACTGGAGAGAAATGTTAATAAAACATTACCACTTGAGATGTTCTATAATTTTCCTCAACAAACTTTATAAGGAACCAATACTCTTATGTTAGTTTACATTGTAATAGTAAACCAATTATAAATAACTTACCGACCCTGCTGAGTTTTGTGCCGTAGTCTGCAATTAAAGGAATTGAATATATATATTATGTATACAATTTTCGTTTTTATGCCATTATATGATTTATTAAACACAAGTACAGCTTTTTATATAATAAATGACATTAAGAATATTTACTGGTTGAGGACATGATTGAGGTCTTGGTTGTGGCCTTGGTTGAGGCCTTGGTTGAAGACATTGTTGAGCACTAGCTTGAGGTCTTGGTTGAGGACATTGTTGAGCACTAGCTTGAGGTCTTGGTTGAGGACATTGTTGAGCACCAGTTTGAGGTCTTGGTTGAGGACATTGTTGAGCACTAGCTTGAGGTCTTGGTTGAGGACATGGTGGTTTGCGTGGATAGTACGAAGGAACTGGGGCAGCACCCTGTAGAGTTAAATTGTATATATATATATATCGTTTAAGCGATATTAAAAATATTTACTTGAAATGGTGATTGAGGACATGTTTGAGACCTGGGTTGAGGTCTTTGTTGAGGTCTTGATTGAGGACATGATTGAGGTCTTGGTTGAGGACATGCTTGAGGTCTTGGTTGCGGTCTTTGCGGAGGTCTTGATGGCGGACATGATTGACTGCGTGGATAGTAAGTAGGAACTGGGGCAGCAACCTTTCAAAATATTCATTTTTTTTATTGATAATGTATTTTAATATAACTAACAACCCTTAGAAAGGTTTTACATTTAGCAAAGGAATTAATTTGTACTTAATTGTACTGTACTGTAATGTACTGTACTTAATTATGGTATAATTTTAATTAAGTTGCCATTTTTCATGATAATATAACGTTTCGTTGTCAGTTTATAAAGATTGTAGTGGAAATAGGAAAAAACTTGAGTTCAATGTACCGATATTGCATTGCATTTCAGTTAAAAGAAAATCAGCACAAATTCAATACTCCTAATGGTTTCAAAATGGGTATGGTAAAACTGTTTTCTCCAAATCAACTGTTTGTCGTTAGTTTAATTAGTGTAATTACTCCAGAAAATTCCAAAAATATAAAATATAAAATGTTTTAAATATCGTTAAATGAAGTTTGTGAAGATAACTGGCACCTAAAGGCTTTAGCTGCAGAAACACTAGACGATGCTAAAAGTATTTTCGAAATGGATACTGTGTTTGCCGACTAAAAACCACAAGGTGTTGACAATTCCGCGTGCTGTTGAGTGCGCAATAAAAAGATTCTTTTTAATATGATATGTAACAATGAAAGCAATATGGATCCATTACTATACTCTAAAGACAAATCAATTACTTTAAGAAAGAAAAAAGAATCAACAGCTAATATTGCATGGCATTATTGGAGAGTTTAATTGAGTACGTTAAAAAATAATTCTCCAATGAATAAGAAAAGACATCCTTCACAAAGACAATACATAATATAACTAATCAATAATATCGATATCATAATTATAGGAGTTCACCTTTAAAATATTTTTCCATTCACTTTATAGAGCTACTAACTACTTATTTTTCGACCTAAGAATAATGGTTTACCGAAAGTTATTTCACTTCAGGGGTAAAGTGATTAATAAAACTGAAGATAATTCTAGAGCCCATCTCCAAAAATATGTCATCAAAAAAATAATACTGAATTGTTTGAGAAATATTGGATTAAATTGTATTGTGTTGTTAGAATTATTTTATGTACATTTTAAATGATGGAATGTATTTTAATTAAATTTGATTTTACCTGTTCACACCAACTGCAATTATCTTTTGAAGGCTAAAAAAATTTAAAAATTATTTTAAATACATTAAAATATAAATTAAATTAAATTATTTTATTTTGGTTATTATTTATAACAATAACTTATTACCTCTGAAAAGGACAAATAATTCCATGGCTGAAAATAACAGATATTTTTTATAAAATATAGATTAATTTATATTACAGCTCTTGATAATTTTTTATACTATGTAAATATATATATAACAGTATATATCAAAATACTCCATTAGGAATTTAAATGTGAAAAACTTTTAACTACTAATATCTCTAATATCACTTCCGTCAATATTATAATTTAAAGACAATGATTACTCTTGCAATCTCAAATATATTCAAAAAGCATATTACATATGAATCACTAGATTCAAGCAAAATTTATACCTTGCAGTACTCTTTGAAACCACAAATAAACATTGTCGAGGTACGTAAAATCTAATCTAATCTTAGGCTTTCAAGCATCGATATATTTAATAACCAGCCTTTCATTAGAACTGACGTCGTTCCTCATCTCATGCTAGCTTTTTGAACTGTGTTTTTAATTCAATCGAGTTTTATTACATTTCTCTCGTCCAAAATCTCATAACAAAATATGAGTGTAGGATTTTCAGGAAATAGCCAACGTAAATATTCTTAAATGACAGTTCTGCATTGTTATTTTTATAGTAGTAAAATTGTAATTATTTCTGAATAATATAAATTTTTATATACTCTGTATAACAACACAAAATACCAATCTATTAAAATATTCATAATCAACATATTTATCATTTATCACATAAATCTATTTATTTCATTATGTTTATGATCAGTTGCAAACGCCGAATACTTTTTGCTTAACCCAATAATGCATTCAAATTTTTAGTAGTTACAGTAACTGATAATGATATACTTATAAAAGCTTTGAAATACAACAACAACATACTCTTATATTTAATGAAGACAACTTGAAACTTGAATAAAACTTAATATCATTCACATTTATAGTCCTAAAGCGATATTTTGATATATACAATGTATTTGTTTTATTTTCTGTGCATTTAGTATAGTATTCTAGAATATTACATATATTAATTACCTTTCCTCTTCCTGCACTACAACAAATCTTCTGTAAATAATTATATATTAATATTGCACTTATGAATTATAAGTACCACATATTGTATATATAATACAATAAAGAAATGTTAAAACAACTTTACCGATTGAGGTGGTTTGCAGTTGTTCTCAGCAAACTAAAAAAAAGTAAATAATATATTCGAATAATTAGAATCCCTTAACATATAATAATCGCAATTAACTTACCGGCGGTGCAACCCTGCCGCTTTTAATCTGGTAAAAAGGTGATCTGTGTTAGCCCTAATAATTAAAATATTTTTAATATTAGTGTATTTCCATATAATATTATTAAACATATTTGTAATTAATTTTAATATAATTTTTCAAATGCGGGTCTAAAATATAGTCAACCTGAAACCTGAAAATTTCGATTTTATGCGGCACCAGAAACACATAAACGAATAAGTCACAGCAGTGGCGGAGCTAGACCAACTCTGGACGTCGGCGACATTAGAATTGCGAGGCCCCCTTTATAACCCAGTTGTAAAAGTTAATAAGTTACATTCACTAATATGACAAAGCATGATTGAAAGTTTTATTGTTATTCAAATTAAAATAAACATAAATTAAAATAAATGAATTTTTCTATTTTTAGCTTCACTCCATTTTTTTTAAATTATATCATAATTTGATCTATCATAATTTGATCCGTCTTAATCAATTTTAAATTTGAGAAGCTCTTTCCGTCGAAGCTATACTGACTGGAACTGTGAACATGAATCTGGTTACTATATAAACATTCGGAAATATTTCGAATATGGTTAATGCCATTATCAAGCCAAATTGTTCAAAATATTTATTAAGTGCTTAGAATCCACAGTCGGTAACTTTTTGCGAGGCCCCTGTGGGCGCGAGGCCGTCGGCGGTCGCCGACATTGCTGACGCCTAGCGACGCCACTGAGTGACAGGTTTCTGAATAGCACAAACCTACTCCGGTGACTTCATCAAAAGAAGTCAAATGGTCTTATCGAACAATTTAAAGAAGAAGTTTTGAGAATCTCTTCGTTTAAGTAATTGATGGCACCAACAAACTATTCGTTTTTACTAGTTATATGTATATATAAATATATATATGTATATATAGTGGTTACAAACGCTTTTATGTTACTAGTTTTTAATATTGGTTTTTAGGAACGAAATACTTTAAAATACAGGTCAAAATACAATGATTCCTAATGATCCCCAATAAATTGCACCAAAACTTGCCAGTGGATTTCTTTTAAGCAATGTACTTGCTATATATTGTCTTGAGATCAGATAAGCGCATCAAACGATGACATAAATTGATATTTTTAAATACAATGTAAATGATTCAAACTCGATGTCCTTATATAAGGACCATTCACCTTACAACTAAAACTAATAGTGACGACTTATCTCTTTATATCCATTGGATGGAAAATGCTTATATCAGTATAAAATCGATTTTGGAATTATATTAAAGTCAATAATATACTATAATTTTAGAAAGTAATTAAAATAAAATTAAATAATATCTTGCATATGATTCATTCATGTCATTAAAATAAATAATTTATAATTCAAATTCAAAATATCGAAATAAAAAAATATACTATAATATACTTTATACTTACATTTGCACATGGAGAATTTCTTTTAATACCGTCATCCGTTAATGATAGTTTACATGCCTAAGATAAATGAAAAAGATTCAAAAAGTTTTATTTAAATTCTCATATTGTTCACAAATTTTTTGTTAATTAATTATTTTACTTATTTATTTTAACTTTTATTTAACAAATTTACCCAAAGATTGGGGTAAATTATAATGAAATACGACAGCATAAATCTTATTTCTAGTTAATAGTTAATAATTGTATTTAATGGTATAACAGTGTTTACGCGTTTACTCATAGGTGAATAAGCATGCTGCATACTTAACAGAAAATTTGAAATTTTAACCTGGTTAATTGCTGTAGCATTCTTCTAAATAATACTAGTCTTTAAACCTAATTACACCATACTGAGCAGTATGCTCATTTATTTACAAAAGTAATTGAAAGAAGAAAAAGCATCGGAAATTCTGAGCAACAACCAATTTCTAATTGCTCATTCTTGTGCTTTTCGCATATAATATATTAGCATAAATACATACACAAGCTATTATGGGCAGAATATCCTATATCTGATATCCTTAATCTCATCTTAATTGACTTTCAACAAGTTTGAGACACATTATTTCATGGTGCTATATTGAAAACACTTGTATGCAGAGGCATATTTCAGAAGCTGATAAAGTATCTCTGTTCGAGCATCCACTGTTTAGATATACATGCGAGTTTTACCAGTAGCCGTAAGACCAGGCTGTATAATTTCTCCATTATTCACACGTTGCCATCGACTTTAATATATTAGGAGCAAAGGCCTATAGATATGTTTTTACATCCCGGTTACATAGTAAACTTTGTGATCTGAATTATGCAGTTGACATTTTCTTAATGTCTTATATCTTCATCTAGATTTCGAAATCTTTAAGGGAAATTGGTACGAAATCGGAGACCGCAGGTTTGGTTTAGCTCAAGCATCGAGGATGTCAATAATTTTTTTTACCTAGACAGCTATTTATACAACAATGGTGACAGCCAATAGGTAATACAAGACAGAATTACTAAATTAAGCTTTTAAAAGCGCTAATAAAATGTAAAAATTGTTTCCCGTATAAAAATCAGATTATACAACACTAATATTTAAGCTTTACTTGAAGGCTAAAATAAGTTTTGTCAACGACAGTCTTTGCCACAAATGAGTATTCTAGCCTAATATATTATCTAACAAAAGTTGTGGTTTAGATTTCAGCGACCTCCAATTATTAAGAAAAAAATGTCTCAGAAATAGAAATAGCTTCAGCACATTTTTTATTAGTGAATAGAAACCAAAGTAAATAGAAGAGGAGCAGCGAATTCAGAAGAGAATGATTGTGGCCCTATGTTCATTGTAGGACTAAGACAAGTTTAGGACTAAGAGTCAATTATGTAATATATTATATATTGAGCATATTATACATATGTTCTACAATTATAATTTCCCCTGAAATCGTTGAATTGTTATAATCGTCGTTAATGACTGATAAAATATACATATTCTGGATTTAAGTTACTGGACCCAGTTGTAAAACTGTAAGTATATAATATATGTTAATTGAATCAGTGTTTCAATTCCACTGTCAGGCAACTGTTGTTGTAGAAAACAACAAATATTTTTAAAGAGTATAAAATATATCTGTGATTATTTTTTAAGCACTTTTTTAATTAATGACCGAGTCATAGAAAACGTTGTATGTATAAATTTAAATTTAAGAACAAAGTGAAAAAAAAGACACAAGAATTTTCGAATTTAAGAAAACTTAAAGAATAAAAATGTATTTTCCAATAGGATAAGATAACATGAAGATAATATATGATAATTAAAAAAAATTAAATCTACAAAAAATTAACGCTTAACACCTAAGTAATACAATGAAAGCATAACACAATGAAAGTTTCTTTTATTAGACCTTACAAAGTTTTAGATTTTATATTCTATATTTATTAAATAAATGTAAATTTATCCAATACAAACTGAAAACACTTACCTCAAATATTTTATTAACTGCAGCACTCTATTTCCAGTATCAAAGCCATGTTAAAACGAAATTTATATCGATAAATTAATTTAATAAAAAAATATTAATATGAGTTCATCATTTCTTACGATTATATCATCCAAACTCTTTTAAAAAAATAAAAAAAAAATTAGCAAAAAAAATATTTAAAATAAATTATATCATATACATACGAATGAGATCTCACCCGAGAAGTTTCCTCTCTCTACTCTTTTTTGAGAACATACCTAATAAATATCCGTTTTAATGAAAAAAATATTAAATTAAAATATTTTATATAAGATGTTGGTTTGAAATATAGACTTATATAGGCCATTTATTTCATAAGAGTTCAAGTTTCATAACGATATTAATTCTAAGTAAATATTAAAGAATATTTTAACATTTAGTTAATCATAATTACTCATATTTATTGTACAATATATACAAAATGAATATAGTATAGTATAGGTTAAGTTGCGAAAGGGGAAAAATTATATTTAAGTTTATATTTTTAATCATATTTATATATTTGATTGTTTAGTTATATTAAAATTCAATTAAATACACAAAAATAAAGTGAATACAGTTGGATAGCTATAAATGAGATAGTTTTATTAGAGTCTATATCTGAACCGGTAGCTCATAACGATACTTAATGTGAAACTCAATTAATTTTTTATTAACAATGTTTCATACAATAATAAACAATAAACATTAATAGACATAATAATAAATTTTGATTTTAATAAATTGATAAATAATATTAATAAATTAATACATTTTTTTATATAAGACGTTGTCCATAATTGACTTTTAACTTACCTCCATAATTTCACCAGCTATATCACACTGATTATGTACAAAGATATAGATCATAAATAAGTTTAATTTTAAAATCAATTAATGTTGATATTAATTGAAATAAATGAATTCTTACAAGCAAGTCATCGATAACCTTAAAAAGAAATTTATTATCAGTAGGAATATAATATATATGCTTAATTATTTCATGCACTCACATTCGTTCCATTAGCTGCATTTTCATTGTTGTTGCACTGTTAGGATAAAAATAAAATTATTAGAGTTATAAAATTAATTTTAATTAAAAGAATATACTTTTGTACTCTACTAGGATTTAACAAAAGATATTAAATTTCAACTAATTACTTAATTAATTAATAAAAAATTGTATTTAAGTTTTGTAACGAATTCGTTGCGTGAAATCGTGAATACCCCTAATTTTTATTAAAAGGAGTTGTGTACATAAATGGTACAAAACACGAGTAGACAAAATTTTTATGGGAATCCTGTACTTTAGCTAATATGGAAAATGAACTACTATTTAATGAATTAAATAAATTGGAAAAAAATATCTGCAAATGTTACACATATATATATAAATATAATAATTTTGCATCAAAACATATAAACATTTCATTAAAATATAAAATATAACAATAGTAACTGTATCTGTATCGCAATAATAATTTAATTTAAGTGACAATTTATTTTAATAGATACTATAACTACACGTGATAATGACGACATTGAATTATTTATGAATATTTACAGGAAGTATGAGATATATTTCATAGCAAAATATACACAAAACTTAAATAATTTATATTTACCGAATCCATGTTAAAATTCTTATTTCTTTTATTGCTGCTAAAAAATAAATCATTAAAAAGAAAAAACATTTTTGTTTTTAAAGTAATTACGTATTTATAAATATTTTGAGCCTTTGTCTTCTATATTCATCGAGTATGGTTTATCTTGTAGCAGTAAAACATTCACTGCCTGTTAGTTCAGCTTATAATGAAATCTGTAGTTGAAAAGATATTTCATAAATTTTATATAAACAAAATTTTATGATATTCATATATGGTTTAGTACTAAAAGAAATGATAAATAATAATTCAAACTAAAAAAATATATGAAACTGATGCAAAAATTTCCTGCAAAATGTATGCGGTTTATGGTGAGAATATAGTGAATAAACTCCAAACCCAGGAGTGGTTTGTTCTGTTCCTTTCAAAAAATTTTAATGTCAAAATGGAACCTCGTTCTGTCATTATACATTGTGACCGAAAAGTTTCCGGAAATTTTAAATAAAACGCAAAATTCTTAATCTTCATCAATATTTATTTTATCT